GTGTTCCAAAAGCCGTCAATACCACCAGCAAATTACTGCATGCAACCGAACCATTTAGACGAGGTTTTGAGCAAGAACTACATTCCACCGTCCGGCCCCATCACATTTGTGTTAATGATAATTCCATCAACGTCCACTTTTGCATATTTTTCAACACAGCGTGAATACAGGAAGCATTGACATTGTGGCATTGTGGTAATGCCATATCACCTGCTTTTTTTGTGGTTAATGTGAGAAAAGAAATCTTTTTATTTATTTCACCCAAAGCAAGGCGATAAAAGCCACTAAGATGCAAGGGGTTTCTGAAAATGAACAAAACGGAGAGGGTAATAAAAGAACAGGATTCATAGAAACAGATGACGATGATTGACATAAATTGTTGAAGATCCTAGTTGACGGGTAAGCAAGAAGCTGAAAGAGTTCTACAAGTGCAGGAAAAGGAATACTATTTACTATTGTCCTCATCTTTGTCGCCATATTTATTACAACGTTTCGGCCGTTGTACCGTTGGAATGTCGAACGGAGCCCTTTATTTTACTCATTGAGGTTCTAGTTCTACGTGCCACGTTTAATGGATGTCAGTTATCAGTTATCTCCTGTTAATTTCCCCTCTCCAAGTTCTCCACTGCCTTAACCGGGTATTGATCTCACACTCTTTGGGTCATGTCACTGGATCTAACTAACGCCTTTATCCACCGTGTCATGTGTCCTTGAGGACATCTGTGTATGAATTTCTGGGTATTATAAACCTAATGTCTTCAGCAACCAGTGCTCACATTGCAATTTTTGCTGTTATCGTTTCATGTTTTTACCAGAGCTTATATTGCAATTTTTTGTTGTTATTATTGCTTTTTTCAATAATAACAACAAAAAATTGCAATATGAGCTGAAGAAGACCGGAGCGTACAACGGTGGAAATGTTGTAATAAATATGTCGACAAAGATGAAGACAATAGTCCGAATCATGTAAATAGTGTACATAATACCTCATCTCAGAAATATAGACAGATACTGAAAGGCCGAAACGTTGTAATAAATATGGCGACAAAGATGAGGACAATAGTCCAAATAATGTAAATAGTCTACATAATACCTCATCTCAGAAATATAGACAGATACTGAAGGGCCGAAACGTTGTAATAAATATGGCGACAAAGATGAGGACAATAGTCCGAATAATGTAAATAGTCTACATAATACCTCATCTCAGAAATATAGAAAGATACTGCAGGAAAAGGAACTATTAACACAGAACTTATGGTTACAAGTAGCCATTTCAACACTAAAATTATGAGACCTAGCTGCCAATCTAGTACTGAGGTTAAATTCGTGAAGTGTAGGTACCAAAGAGAAAAGTTCATCAAAACAATTACCGTAAAAATATTTATAGAAAATGCACACTGAAACTATGTTACGGCGGTGGGAAAGTGATTAAAACCTAGATGCCATATCAGGGTATCTAACGTTTCAGCTTCTTTGGATTTTGTCAAGAATCTTTACATATATAGCAGAATCACTCGACCACATTTAGTAGCAATAATCGATGCACAGACGAATGGTAGATTTATAAATATGTAAGCTTGATTCCGGCGAAAAAAAATGTCTACCACGACACAGTGAACCGACTTTCCTTGTAAAAGACTTAGCAATTGATTCAATATAAACGTTCCACCTTCTGTCAGTGGAAAACGCGAGATCTAGAAATATCAGTGAGTCACTCTCCTGGAAGTTAGCATCAGCCATGCTGACTGAAGGCAGAAATAGTTATCTCAGACAATTAACAGAAAACGTGGCAGGAAATGGAACTCAGTTCTGGCAGACCACAAAGAAGATCTGAATAGCAATGTTAATATTAACATTTCCTTATAAGGAAATATTCGGCATTCATTGACCAAAACACTCAGTGCCACTGCCGATTGAAATTTATAAAATCTTTCTGTTAAAACAATTTTTCAAGAAAATAGGTTCCTCGGGTCGAATCACTGTTATCGCTTTTTTCAGTATTGATGAGGGTTTCCTTCCTAGCCTTCTATTCGAAATAGTGGGAACGTCAACATCTTATGTTGTTATTTTCTCTTCAAGTTACATATAATACTTACTTTAGTTGTTGCTGAAGTTGAAAGTCTTCCAGTGATGTGGTTTATGTTATTTGGTACAATTTTTTGTCGTTCTGTAGCGCCACTCCACAACAAGAATGACCTTCGATGAAGGCCCACGTGTTTCACACGTTTTTAACCATTGGTCTTAGAAAATGACTGTATACAGCTGACAGTTTAGATATTTCTGAACGATTTTAAAATCTCTATCTGACGAAGTATTTAAGCATACAACTCGAGTTTTCAGGTTAATGTTTTGGTTTTGTAGCTATTTGCCGTGTTGTGGGAAACTACCCATAGCGCAGTCTATTCGATATTCAATTTCTTTATTTCCTATACTAAATTTGCTATAAATGATCCATATTCCGAGGTATTTGAAGTGTTTAGTATTCATTAATTCCACATGCTGAAATTTTTAATTACAGATTCTGGGTATGTGCTTTTACTGCTTTCATTTCAATTCCAGATCATAGTTTCTATTTTCAAAAGGTTTATATTGAATCCTATTTCTTGAAATACTTTCTAGAGAATATTAACTTTTCTTAAGAATGTGTAAAACTACCCAAATATCTCAAATTTTCCATAAGTTGATTAAGTTGTGGAATAGGATTAAAACGAAAAAATCTGCGCGATAACCATAAAAACAAACAAACTCATAATTAATTCACAAACACCAAACAATATTTTTCCAATATTTTAGCATAATAAAAAATAAGGTGACCAGAGTGCAAATATAATCGTTCTCGGGGCATCTGAAAGAATTGTGAACCTTGTTGAGAACATTGAGTCAATGGCTTCGTCCACCGCAAGGAAAGTTGGCTCCCTGTGCCGCGCCAGGAAATTTTTCTCGCCGGAGTCGATCCTCCAGATCTACAAATCAACAATTCGCCCTTGCATGGAGTATTGCTGCCATATATAGTCTGGAGCCCCTTCTGTTTGCCTCGGGGTTCTTGATAGGCTCCAGAGGCGGATATGCAATATAATTAGCCCTGCTCTGGCATCTCGTCTACAGTCACTCTCTCACAGACGCGCCGTCGCCTCTCTCTGTCTGTTTTACAAATACTTTCATGGCAATTGCTCCGAGGAGCTGCATTCGCTGGTTCCCAGACTTCATGAGTTCAAGCGCCCTACGAGGCTGGCATTCCGCTCTCACCCCTCCACTGTCGAAACTCCTAAATGTAGCCGTCTCTTCTACCCCAATAGCTTCATGTCTCGCACTTCTCGTCTGTGGAACTCCCTTCCCTATTCCAGTTTCCCTGAGAGCTATAATCTCCAGCTATTCAAATGTAATGTCAATCGACATCTCCAGTTGCCTTGATCTATCCACTACCCTTCTCCTCATCCTTTCTTCTATCACTCCTATCTGATCTTGCTCCAAATTTTCTGTAACCCCTTGCGTCCTAGTGCCTTCCCGCCTTGCTTGGGGTGAAACGCTTAAAAAAAAAAGAAAAAATAGAAAAGATATTTGAATGGCAACATGACTCTGTACTACTCACAACAGTGCAACATTTATTATCACACATATAACACGACATTTTATGTTTGATCGCCTTCGTCCTTAATGAATTTGAAAATACATATCCATTCAATTATCCCTATTCAACAAAAGAATCTGCAATTTTATTGATACTGACCAAGCATCTCTGCTTCAGTCACTTTCCCATCGCCGTAACGTAAATTCCCTATGGCTTTTCTATAAATATTTTCATGCTAATTGTTCTCATGAGCTATCTTTTTTGGCACCTCCATTTTATGAATTTAGCACAGTACTAAATAGGTAGCTAGGTCTCTTTTTTTATAGTTGAAATTGCTAGAAGTTCTATGTTAACAGTTTCTTCTCTCACACTTCTCACTTGTGGAACTCTCTTCCAGCTTCTTGCTTTCCATTCAACTTTGATCTTCAAAACTTTAAATGTAATGTTGTCATCTTCTGTCTTCTTAATTTCTGTTTTTTTTTATTGTTCTCTTTCCTTAGAATTTTTCTCTCGGATTTTTTCACAATCAATAACCCCGTGATATGTTTTAAAATTTACATTTGCTATAGGTGACAGATCGTAAAATTTATATTTAGTAGTGCTGATATGTCGTAAAACTTCTCTACATTTGCTAAGGGTGATATGTCGGGAAATTTTTACATTTGCTAGTGATGATAAAACGTAAAAATTCCATTTACTAGAGGTGACATGTGGTAAAATTTACATATGTTGTATATCGTAAAATTTACATTTGCTAGACGTGATATATCGTAAAATATTTGCTCAAGGCTATACGTCGTAAAATATACATTTGCTAGAGATGATACGTCGTAAAATTTACATTTTCTACAGGTAATATATGGTAAAATTTCTACAGTTAATAGAGGTGATATAACGCAAAATTTCTACATTTGCTAGAGGTGATATGTCTTACTTAAAATTTACATTTGCGAGAGGTGTTATGCAATAAAATTTCTACATTTGTTAGAGGCGATATATCGTAAAATCAACCAATCAAACAGCAAAATATATTTGCTGCTTTCCTGAGTTTTTTATAGAGTTGATTACGGTGTTTTTGGTCGCTGTTAAAAGCGATTCGTTTTATTAATATTTCCATTGTAGTTTCTCTGACCAGAAATAATCATTTTTTCGATTTTTTTCACTCATGCAAGGATGAGTTAAATACATGTGTTATGAAAATGTATTGAGTGGAAGTGAAAGAAAGGCCGAGTCCGTATAGCTTGAATGAAGCTTTATTCTACTAGAAATCTATTCCGGTAGCGAACCGTAACAGGAAAATGGCCGACTACCTCATGGAGAGAGGAAGACAAAACAAAGGGAAATAATTCGGTCCTGGAAGGCCAGAGAAAGATTAAAGAGTTCTTCTATTTTCACCACAACATGCGAAATTAAATAGGTACTGACTTACCATTTGTATAATTATCGAACTCCGGGTGATACTGTTGTTGAGTGTCAAAAGGGATGTAGATATTGTGTGCCACAAGCTTATACAGCAGTGTCTTATTGAAATGAACACCGAGTAGATTATTACAGTATTCTGCCAACTTAAGATTCTTGACTGCAATAAAATTAGTGTAGACTGAATTGTTCACAGGATAGTGGTACTCGTCAGGTCCCATTACATCTGAAGGATTAAAACACATAAATTACATAAAGCAATACAAGTTGATATGGAAAGTACATTTTTCAGTCTATTGTAGTCTCTGTCTACAACATTCACATTTTAGCAAAAATATGTGGTTAAGTGGACGCATATCTACTGATTTATTTCGATTTGCTCAGAGATACCTTGCCTTCCGTGTGTCTGTCAGAAACTATCCAAATTTCCCCATGGCTCAGACTGTATCAGTCCCAGTTCAACCTTGTCATTAATTCATATATACTTATCACTATCTATCTAATGTTCATATCTATCTATCTATCTATGTTCATATCTAGTGATTTTCCAAGCGTAGCTTAGATGTGGCACAAGGCCCAAAGTATGGGGCACCCAGTGAGGATCGAACTCACTACTCAGTCGTAATTGTTCTAGCCAGACAAGCTTGCTAACCATTACACCACCTCGAGGTGCCCATCTATGTTCATATGTATGTATGTATGTATGTATATCTATGTTCATATCTATCTATCTATCTATCTATCTATCTATCTATCTATCTATCTTGTTCATATCTATCTATCTATATGTATATATATATATGTTCATATCTATCTATCTATCTACGTTCATATCTTTCTATATATCTATGTTCATATCTAACTATCTATCTATCTATGTTCATATCTATCTATCTATCTATCTATCTATCTATCTATCTAATTATGTTCATATCTATCTATGTATCTATATATCTAATTATGTTAATAACTATTTATTTATCTCTCTCTCTCAGTGTCTTCATATCTCTCTTAATCTACCCATATCTATAATGTCTGTCACAGTCTATTTCTATCACAGTCTATTTCTTTATATCTATCTACACACACACACACACACACGCACACACACACACACATATATATATATCTTTTTTCATCCATCCATATTGATTTTGCATTGGATTTCATCTAATCATCAACCAGCCATAATTAACACCACTCTGGTGCTTCAAGGAAAATTGATCTCAGCAACTCAAAGACATATTGGCAACAACAGTATTATTTTTACAGAACGGCCGGACCAATGCCAAGTACTAACAGAATTGGTCTGTATACCATTCCAACAAGAGTACAAGATCAAATGAAAAATTAGTATTCTTTTTCTGTTCGTTTCTTTTTTCGTGATGGTCGATGCTATATTCAGAAATTGGGTATTGGCATCATTTGGTTGATAATGCTAATTCATTCCTTATTGATTTTTATTGATTGATTAGTCGGATGATTAGGTATCCAAATGAGTCTTTTCAAATTTTTCCATTTTTTTTCACACATGTAAGTTGACTGTTTTAAAGACCGTACCAATTTTTTGAGAAAATATTTTAAAGAATGGAATGTTTAAATTTTATGAATATCTCAGGTGTGTAACTCAAGGATATTGTGCGCTTTAAGAGATCAAAATTCTCTACTCTCTGGCTTAAATTTTGATTGTTTTTCTCATATAACTTCGAATAACCTGAATAGCTGTAACTTCTAAAAAAATTGTCACTTTTAAGAAAAACATCCATTAAAGTTTGGTGTGGATTTATTTAAAAAAAATAAAAATGTATCAAATTTATCTGCATATTAATTGGAAGTACCGTATATACTGGAGGTATATGTCTACTTCATGTATGTTGAGATCACTGTTGTTTTTTTTTTTTTCATAAAGCTCGTGTATAAAGCGACCCCAGCTTCTGAGGAATACTAGTGGGCCTACCGTAGTTAAATATTGCAGTACTGGGTAACATCCTGTACATATTTTATACCAAATAAATGTTCTTCATTCTGTTTTGTACAAAGTTTTGTACAAAACACTTACCATAAAATATCTGATACAAAGATGTCGACACTGTATTTTTGTTTCCGTTCATGTCTGACTATGGTAATTCCTTTACCCTGGGCCTGCTGCTACGTAGCCTAAGTTTATTGCCTTTTGTCTCTAGCTGAAGCCAAACCTTATCCACTATGTATGTCATTTACAACAAATAGCTTATATAAATGATGATGATTTTTAACCTCACCATGATTCATGCATGTTTTTTAAACTCTTCAAAAAATTATCTGTGTATAATGCGCCCCCTATGTTTTGCGGAAATACACTCGAGTATCTACAGTATAATATATTAATGAGTTACAAATAAAGAAAATCAAAATATGAATACATCTTCAGTTGAACACATAAGTACTCATAATAGGGAAGGAAGGCTTGGAGAATTTGGCACTCACAAGACATATTGAAGACAAGAGGGACAGAGAAAAACAGTAAGTGATATAACAAGCTTGTGTAAATGGTTGGAAAAACAGGGAGTGGGTGGAATTGTGATAATACCAACCTTACTAGAGATCTACAAAGAATAAGAGATTGCGGAAGGCCATGATCACATCGATGATAATGATGGTAATGGATATACAACTGGGTATCTGAATTGGGAAATTTGACTTGACGGTTTTCCTTACAAAGTGGATACTTTCCACAAATATTTAAAAACTGTAGAAATGTAAACTGGTTAAAAAAAAATTGGGGGGAAAAATGGAAAATCCGAATTTGAAAGTTCCCAATACCATTCTGCTTCAGTTAATATACCCTCCTCCTGTTTCCAATTTTGGCAACAACATGCCTTTCTTGATCTGATATTCATGCAAAACACCCGTCAGTTTGCCTTTAGCCAGTCCTTGTTATCGTTGAAATGAACGCTTTTATTTTTTTTGTAATTTTCTTGGATTTAACTTGTTCTTTGCTGTCTGTTAAAACTTAAAAAACTCAAGCTTGTACTTTAATTCACTTTATTCGTGTCAATATATATATATATATATATATATATATATATATATAAATGAAGAAATATACTCTTAAGCTGTGCTATATTTATGGGGAAAAGTGCACAATATCGGAGATAGAACGTGTGTAAATATAAAAGTGAACATTGAAGTCAACACTTAGAGGCTACAGGCTGTTTCATGTTAGACGCAATCGTCAGGCCACCGATTGCGTCTAGCATGAAACAGCCTGTCGGCCGCCTCTAAGTGTTGACTTCAATGTTCACTATATATATATATATATATATATATATATATATATATATATATATGACTATAAGATACCAAAGATATAAATCTAAACCAGTTCAACAAAAATCACCTAATCCCCTCAACCTTTCTTTCTCCAACATTCACGGTATTCCGGTATTCGTAGCAACTTCTGCAGTGTGGAATCGTTCCTCTTTGAAAAGTCTCCGGACATCCTAGCCCTATGTGAAACTAATCTTAACTCTTCAATCACCTCCTATAATTCCTTGATTCCTGGCTATCTTCCTCTCCTTAGGAAGGACTCTAATGTTCACATGCATGGTCTGGGTGTTTATGTCCGTGAACATCTCAAGCTGGCTAGGGAATTCTTTCTTGAATCTCAACACTAATGTTACGTGTGTCTCCATCTGTCTCTACTTAATTCAGTCAGCTATCTCTTCTTTCTCTACTGTTCCTCTTCATCTCCCGACTGTTACGTGCTGGATAGTACTTCTGATAATATAGACAAGGCCATCTCCCTACACCCTTCAGCAAATATATTTGTGTTTGATGACATTAATGTCCACCATGCCAGAGGGACAGTGAAAAACAGTAAGTCACTGACTCCAATGGAATCCAGATCCTTAACTTCATGCAAGTGGCGGACTTCCCCGCATATTTCCCCAGTAATCCTGATGGACACACTTCTCTTCTAGATCTTCTATCCCGGATGCATGTTGTAGTTTGCAGCTCTGCCCTCTTGGCAACTCTGATCAAGTGGTTGTGTCTATAAACATCTCTTTCCACTTCCCTACCAGTCAAGAACCTCCTACCAACAGAATTTCTTTCTATTATCAGCACGAGGATTGGGACTCGTTCTGTGACTTCTTTTGTGACGTCCCTTGTAATGCAGCTTTTAATCATCCTGTTCATACCTGCGCGTCTGATGTCTCCTACTGGGTGAAAGCCGGTATTGATGCTTTCATTTCAGCAAGGAAATACCAAGTTAAACCGCATTCCTCTCCTTGGTTCTCACTTGCATGCACAGCCGCTATAGGCTACAAGAAAATGTCTTCTGGCTGTACCAAAGCGACACGTCTGATTACAACAGACGTCTCTTTGCCTCTGCTCGTAATGTGTGCAAACGTGTCCTCAAAGAAGCGAAGTTACTGTTTGCTGATAGAACGAAACAACGTATAGCATCACGAAACTTCGTTTCTAGAGATTATTAGCGGCTCTGCAAATGTGTGCTTTAACAATAACAAATCCTCAATCTTTCCTATATTCAATCAATTTGAAATCCTGACATCTACAGCAGATTAGGTTGACTGCTTTGTTCGGAAATTCTAATCCAACTCAACACTCGGTTCAACTGGAGTCCCCACACCTGATTTCCCTCCTAGAACAGAGGCTCTACTGAATGATATGCGTATAACCCTGTTACTGGTCTCGGGCATTATTTCTAAATTAGATTCCCATAAGGCAAGCGGAAGTGACGTGATCCCAGCCGTTGTCCTAAAGAAATGTGCTCCCGAGCTGGCTCCAGTTCTCTCCAAACTCTACAAATATTGCCTCGCTGCTTCCTGCTTTTCTGCTTGTTGGAAGTTCTTTATAGTTCCTGTTTTTCGGAGAACCTTTTTGATCCCTCTAACTATCGTTTTATTAGTCTCTTATCGCTTTTCAGCAAAGTATTCGAGGCTTTAATCAATGCTGAATTGGTTAATATGTTACCTCTCACGACCTACTCTGTGACAAACACTATGACTTCCATTGTGCCATCACTGTATATCAAGCTCTTGATAATAATGGCGAAGTTTTAGCTGTGTCACTAGATATCTCGAAAGCGGTTGACGGGACTAGGCATGCTGTTCTTCTACGTGAGTTCCAGGGCTACGGTATTACTAGACGATTGTTTGATTTAATCCAATCGTGAAATGAAGGTCGTTTTAAACACGCTCACTTCCAGATCCTTTCA